GCCTCAAAATTTTTAAAATATATGGCTCATCTACCTCTTCCCTTGTCTCCTTTCTACACTCGTAAGGATCCAATCTCATTTCGCCATCCGAACACAATATAGAGAAGTGTGTGGAATGAGGTCCAACATACTCAAATACATGAACTTCGAGATGTTCAACATCCTCTACACCAATGACACTAGAGTTAACTAAATATTTATCCTCAATGTCCTCGGTTGACTCTAGTATCACGCCTTCGACATCAGCATCCTCGAATTCTAGTTGGCTAGGTTGTTGGTGTTCTACTCTGACCTCCTCCATCAGAGTGTCAATTGCTGACTCTAATTCACATTGTTTTTGGTTACTGTCCACAATATTAGCTTGTTGAGCATTAAATACTTCAACTATTTGAGCCACTTGAGCCTCCAAGTTGCTAATAGTTACCTCTTGCCTTATAATAGTAGCCTCTTGCCTTTGTATTTGCAGTTCTTTCTCATTATTTTGTTCCAAGAGACACATCAACATATCCTTGATCTCTTTTAGGTCAGCATCCCCAGGTTCTTTATTCATATTAACTTCACAAGAAAACGTAGGACCATCATAAAAAGGGGTTGGGGGAGGATAAGAAGTATAATCATAACCATAAAAGTGACCATTTTGACCACCACAAACATCACACGTATTCAACACATAAGATTAAGTTGGTGCACATAACTCGCTCTCGAGAATATTTTGATAATTTTGCTACGGGTGATTTCTTCACAATATGTTTAATGATCAAAAGTAGAATTATCAACACCTAAACTCCCATAATTTCAAGGTGTCATGTTTCTCAAATCACCAAGTAAAATAAAATAGAGTTAAAAAAAAAGAACAACACAAAATAAAAGTTCAAACTTAAAACCTAGAAATATATACAGCTATAATTATACCGTTAGTTCCCCGGCAACGGGCGCCAAAATTTGATCACGCCCAACTATGCCTTATACAAAGGACTAAGCAACCGTTACAAATATAATCCAGTTTAAGAGTACGGAGTCGAATCCTACAGAGAACTAATGTTTAGCTACAACTGTTTACTAATACTAAGAAGACAAGCTCGAACAATTCCTAAGTTATAAATATTAAGATTATATTTTTTAACTAATTAACTAGCAACTTAAAGTAGTAAATTAACATCTAGAGATATTAAGGGTTGGGACAAGATTAAGGAGGCCTAGAGTTATGATTTTCCAAATTGTCGGAATCCATCCTGCGACGTCTTTTATAATTTTGCCTAAGTATTCTCTAGTGATCGTGAGTACTTCGGGTGTCGTAATTCTCTTCCGAGCAACTACCACAATTTACTAGACGTATTCTTTTGAATTACGCTAGCTGGCACTAGTTTACCGCTCACTAAGACCTCACCAAGGTTTCGTTATGCCTAATCCTACATTTAAACCCTCCATACTGATTCCTCACATACGTTAAGAGTGATGTTATTCAACAACTACCTAAATGTGTACCTTTTTCCAAGTAATACACACTAAATAGGCACAGTCAATTGAGGGGCCTTCAATCAACTAAGATTATCACATAGTTGAACAAGTAGAGAAAATCCAACAGCAAAATTATATTAAACGCAACAGAAAATCATCCTTCAAAATGTTCCATCAAACCCTAGATAAAAGAGTTTAGCTACTCATAACCATACTAACAATCATGATAATAATTGAAAGCATTAAACTACAGATTAAGGAAGAACGGAGAGAAAATTCTTGTGATTCGTTGCTTCCAAGTGTTCTCGTAGCCTTTTGCCTCTCCAATAATGTCTCTCTCTAAAAAATAGGTTTAGAACCTCTTTTATACATGTGACGAGTAGGGTCGAAACTACCAACCCTAGCCGAAATAGGAAAAGTTTCTCGCTTCCGTGTTTTGAATCACGCCTGGCGCAAAGCTGGGCGCGCAACTCTGTGTAGTGCTGTCTGTGTTTTGAATTATGCCTGGCTCAAATCTTGACGCCTAAATTCTTTCATTTTAGCTTTAATTTATACACAATCCTTCCATATAACCTCTGATTGAGTTATACACATAAAAATAGCACTATTAAGCTCCAGTCACAAATATTTACACTAAATTTAATAAGGTTAGGGCATAATGCAAGACAATTTATATGCAAAAACATATATTTTTTGCCAAACATCATTAAGCAACGATTAAAACTTGTCCTCACGTCATCTGCTTAAGAAAATTCCATTCTTTCATCAGATGTTTGCTTATAAGTGGTAGCCTTCACCAAAGTCGTTGTGCCTTTGCTTCCCCATTTTTGTTTTATGTTTGCCTTTGCTATTACAGAAGGCAGAAGCATATTACACATAAACATAAATATTGAAAAACTATGGTATTTTTGATGTAGAAAAAGAAGCATATTTTTGCAAACAAGTAAAAAAACGGAAACAATATTTAAAGACATGTCCCTTAAGGTGATAATGGCTGCAATTTTGTGATTAAATACACACACTTCCCGATCATTATTTTGTTAATAGATTTTTAATGATTATTAATAAGGATAATTTAATAGAATAAACTCTTAATAAATGATGTTAACATGAGTGTCAAGTAAACACTGAACAAATGGAAAAAAAGTGAAGGAATACAATTTAAGATAGCCCTTAGCCCCCGTGACTAATGTTTTTGCACATGTCTCACTACTTTGGCCCCGCCATTATGTGTGGAAGCATACAATAATAATCATTTCAAAGCAAGAAAGTAACTCTCACATGTACCCGAATAATTATTACTCCATCATACACAAATGTGCACTAACAAGAAAACGTCACTCAATTAGTCAATCAACCATTTTGTGTTAATTTCAAATTTCAAATTTGTTGAGATCGATTATGTGAATATTTAATGTTCATTTCATTCCTCTTTGATGACGCATCATAGAAGTTTTAAAGTTATTTTTGGACTAAACAATTAACACACTATAATACTCTATTTTATTTCAGGTTTAAGACCGATTATATTTTGTGAAACTCATGTTCACATGCAGAGTTTTTTTTTGGAACCCCAGGAAAACCCGCAGCCGCTACAGCTTCTGCCTTTCGGGTGAGCACTCTGTGCACACTGGATAAACCCCCACTGTGTAATAGCCTGCAAACCACACAGGGAACCTATAGAGTTATTAACGAGAAACATGACTTAATAACTTCCAAAAGAATAGAGAACCCTTGTTTATCCAAGGGATTACAAGAATCAAACCTCACCAACAAGGTAGAGATTTAAGTAACAACAAATCAAACTACTAAGATTTCCCATAGAAAACATTGTGTTTTACCTTCCTTTACAAAGGAAAAAAAAACGAAGTAACTCTATCCATATTGTGAATATGCTTGAGGTCAAAATTTCCTGTAGTATGCTTAAAACATGAAGTATGATTTAGGGTGTGTTTGGTACGAAGGAAAACATTTTCCAATTTTCCATGTTTGGTTGGCTTAAATGTTTTGGAAAACATTTTCCTTATCAATTCATTTTCCTCCAATTGGAGGAAAATGTTTTCTTTATCAAAAGAAGGGAAAACATTTTCCAAAGCTCCTTCTCAACCTTTCTCACCCTCACCAACTCACCCCCACCCCCTTTCCAAAAAAAGGTTTTTTTTTTTTAAATTTCAGTTTTTCC